ATTATTGAATGAGATATCAAATTATTCAGTCAAAAGTGAGTTAGGAGAGTTGGTGATCTCTTGGACAAATCACCAAAGGCGCCAAGATAGGTTCATCACGAGTAGGAAGGAACAAGGGAAAACAGGAGGTTTTCCCCGTGGACCGACCCGTGACGAGATCCTATTCCCGGGCCCTCAACAATGGGAGAGACTGATTTTCTCTCTTGTTCGAACCAGAACTTTCTCTCTTCTTCTTCTTCTCTCTCTTTTCCTCTTTCTTTTATTTCTGCTGTTACCACTCTAACAGAATTCAAGGGCAGACCGAATTCTTATAGTACTTATGATGTGTAAAGCAAAGGCAGCTTTTTTTTCTCTAGACTGCTCACCACCATATTTGTATTTTCAGTGCACCCCCTCCAAAAAGATATATATATATATATATTGAAGAAAAATGAACATTATCATACAATATCTGATTACATCTTGACCAAATTTATCTTTCGCAAATATGTCCTACCATGAGCAATAGAGAAATGTATCTTGACATGTAAGAAATTTCCTTCCTCTACATGCCTATTAATTATCAACATTCCTGAATTCCTTGAATTTATGCTTATTCAGGTGCAATATTTCCATTCCATTATTTATAGAAAGCACAATTTGTTGTCTGTCCCTAGTTTTGGATGGTAAAAATGCACTTGCAGTCATCAACAAAAGTAACCCTTATTCTCTGCTTTGGTGTTTCAGATTTTGTTATGGAAGCCATGATATGGAAATAATATGTTAATTCTCAGCTAAGGGGCAAAAGAATACCACCATGCTGCTAAATTAGTAAAAATTATTTTTATTGCTTCTGCTAAATTAATGTCCCATATTATTTTTATTGCTGTCTTTGTTTTATTCTTTGGACAGCAAACTATTATGGTCATCGTACCTTGTTTTATTTTTCACTCATATAAATAGCAATGAATGGGGTGGCAGAACCATAAGATTCTGTACCTCTCTTTCTCTCTTTTCTCTGTTGTTCTCTCTTCTTCTTCTCTTCTATTCTCTTTTCTCTCTTTTCTTTTATTTTTCCTTGCTGAAATCTATTCTAAACTTGGTACAATCACCAACTATTTCAGCCAATTTAGTATCAAAGCAAGTATAGGATCCAGTAGGGATCTCATGTGAACTTGATCTAGCCAGCTACATGAGATCTTTCTAGGGCTGGAGTTTTCAGCACTTGTCACCTGATTCTTGGAGGTTATTGGAGAGTCCAGTTGCTGCCCAAGGTATTTGTGATCTTGGAGATTTCCCGATTACCATGAAGAATCAGAGAATTTGGACCAATTCAAGGTTTAGTGGTTAAACCTTCAATTAGAAGTGGTGCTCAGTGTTTTCTGGGTAGAAAATCAATCACTCTTCAAATTGATAGCTTACAGGAGTCCTTTTGAACTAACTGGAGGGAGCAGTTGATAGAAATTTACTTTCTCCAGGGCTGGTCTAGGGTTCTTTCACTGGAGATTGATCGGTCCTTGCCTTTCAGCCTATCTTTTGTGACTCCTAGAGTTATTTGAGGACTGTTATAGGTGTTGAGTTTCTATACAGATGTTTTCAGCTTTGTGAAGTGTGTTTCTGGGCTTTTCCCTCTAGTTTTGTGAACCCTCAGTGGTGTGTTTAGCATGGAGACACAAAGGAATTAGCCAAGGAAGACCCATCTCTTGCCAAATGGATTCAAGAAAATTATTTGGTAATGACTTAGCTGTGCAATTCTATGCAGCCTCACAGTAGTAGGAATTATCTATGGATGAAGACTGCTACCGAGATTTGGAAGAACACAAAGGACACTTACTCTTAGTCTCTTAATGTTGCTAGAGCTTATTTGTTGAAGAGTGAAGTATAGAATCTTAAACATGGGGAGAAACTTGTATCTATTTACTTCTCCACTTTGAAATCATTATGGCATGAAATTGATCACTTAGAAACAATTGGATGGGAAAGTCAGAAGGATGTAGCAACATATGGGAATTTGTAAGGCAACAACTACATACTACAGACAGTGTCACCTTATCTTAATCTTACTACCTAGTACACAAAGAGAAAAGTAGGAGGAAGGTTATGTTACAAATTCCACCTATGGATTAGAGAGAGTGTTGCCTCTCAAGAAGTGTATCTTCCTTATCTTGTCTTTGATATGCAGCTGGCCAATGTTTTCACCAAAACAGTTACTAAAGTTAAGTTGGAAACTGATTAACACAAGTTGGGAATAACCAATATATATTCCCAACTTGAGGGGGGAGTGTAGAGATACAGTAGATCAGACTTAATTTGTAGTGGTCCAATATTATTTTATTTCTGTTTTACTTTTATTCTTAGGGTGGTAGGGTATTATGGTCATTGTACCTTGTTTTATTCTTTACTTTTATTCTTAGCAATGAATGGGGCAGCATAACCATAAGAAACTGCACCCCTTTTTCTCTCTCTTTTATCTGTGTTATCTCTTCTCCTCTGCTCTATTTTCTCTCTTATCTTTTATATTTTTTTCCTTGCTGAGATCTATTCTAAACTTGGTTCAATCACCAACTGATTCAGCCAAGTACTTCGCTATATTATTCATGGAAAACAAAGGCCATATTATGTAGTTTTATTTTTGTGACAATAACTCAATTGGACACTGCCATTCAGGCACACTATAAAGATATTCAGTCTTCTATCACCTCCTAAGGGACTTTTATGCAGAAATTCATTTTGGTTGCAGGTGGCATTCATTGCAATTGGAGCAACAATGGTTGGAAGCATCACCTTCACTAAAAGGGAAGGTGACTTTGTCAAGAAAGGAGATGAGGTTCTCTTTTTGATCTTAAACCTTTATTTTAGTATCGTCATGGATATGATCTTAATGCCATTCTACCTTATTTGCTGATATACAGTTTGGATATTTCTCATTTGGAGGAAGTACTGTGATTTGCATCTTTGAAAAGGTTAGTATCCTATTTGTGGTTCTAAGAATTCAAAATATTCTTTGTTCTGTTCCGTTCTATTTTCTTTTTCCATGTGGAAAAACAGTTCTTGATATAATAATCACCATGTCTCATGCCCATGCTTGATGTGCATATTTAATTCATTGACATCTTGCAAAATTTAACTTGATTTTGTTATTTAATTTGTTTCATTAGTTTCTATATAGGAATCATATGGTCCAGATGTTCCTTTCATCTTAAAGTGCTCTGATTTCTTTTTTGTCTTGAAGTTATCATCTTCTAGCATGCCAAATGTCCTCATTGGATGAGCATCTAGGGGGTATATCCCCCTAATGAGAAAACTCCATATTAAACCTACTAGACCACCTTTTTTTCTTAGCTTCTTATTAACTAGAATGCCAATACTCATAATTTCTGATTGTATAGTTGTTTACCATCCATGGGATATGCTTCTTCAGCTTTCTAGGGAGTGCATTTTGCATCTTATCTACATTTCTAACATACCTTGGCCTTGGTAGTTCCCGCCTCCTCCCCCCCCCCCCCGCCAATTCCAATAATGTGTTATCTACCATAAGCATAACAATTTGAATGCCTTTTCTTCTTGAAATTCATTAAGATTGTTGGGATACATGTGTGTGTACAAGTTACACGTTAAAAAGAAATAAGAAAAGCAAAGGTTTATATACAAGGATTGACCCACAACTAACAACTTAAACTTTCAAGTTAAAAGGTGGTGGTCAATTCTTGTGTGTAAGTCCTACATGCAGAATGAACTCCTTGGTATTCGACAATTCTCAGTACCCAACAGTGATATCAAAGATAAAGGTTTGGCTAGGCGCAAGTATTCATAGATGCATTGATGCAGATGTGGAAGAAAGGAAAGAATCCATGGAGAATTAAGTTATATTTCCAATTCCTATGCTGGTTTCAGACTTTTTGGGTTATAGGATATTGGTATTGTTTCAGGTTTTCTATTTATTTTCTAATTGTGGGTATCTTAAAAATAGGGTTCTTTTTCTTAGTTTTTTATAACCATTTTGAAATAACTCTTTATGGTAAATCTTGGACTTGTTATTTATAGTAATTCTTGTAATTACTATTTTTAATAATTTATGGTGTCTTTAAAGTAATTTAGTTTCAGTAGGATTAGGAAAGTGTTATTAGAATTGTTTTAGTAATTAGAGTCCTCATTGGAGTGTCTTTATGAGTCGTTTATTGATTTGTATTAATTTTTTGTATAGGTTTAAAAGTTCATTAAAATTTCATTAGAAGCAAAAGGATAAATGACTGTTACAAGCATCCCAATGGGAGGTGTGAGGTGCGGCCTCACTCTTTAAAGAAAAATCAGCACAAAAATCACAAAAGGGCCCAATACAACTGATCCATAGTTACCCCTTGCTTAGCTAAAGAATCAGTGAATGCATTAGCTCCCCTTCCCACCCATTATATAATCAAATTCATATGTTGTGTTTAATCATTTGAATTTCTTCATTTCATTTCTATAACACCATATCACTGAGTCTGGGTCTGCAGCTCACCACCACCTTGGAGTCCCCTTCTATCACCAAATTCTCCAAATCCATTTCTCTTGCAATCTGAGAACCTTGTAGGACTGCATACAGTTCAACCTTTAAAGAGTCTCCATTCCCCATAGGTCCTGAATAGAATGCTAAAACAATTAGGAGTTGCTTTGGGTCAGTTTCCTAGTCCAAATTGGAGTGTGAAAGGGGACATCTGAGTTAGTAAGTTGAGTCTGTAAACAAAGTTGTTGTAATTGGAGTTGAAGAGTTGATTTGATCAAATAAAGATTGGCTTAGTGAATTCTGGTTGTTTTCATAAGTTTCTTTTTTCTCCCCTCTCTCATATTTCTTTAAGCAATCTATCTCTTTGCTGTTTACCCTAACAGCAAGGTCTCACCTCTCTTATAATTTCTTACTCATTCTTTGGTGCACAACAAATTTCCCCATCCTACCTCATGCATGTGATGACCCCAGTGGCTTGCAAGTTGCCCAATGGTCTGAGTGGTTGGCAAGAGCAATTGATCTCCCATGATGATTCCACCCATGGGAATGTACTCCCATAGTTGAGCTGTTGGATTCCCATGACCTGTCCCACCCATGGATGGCTCTCCTTGGTAGTTGTAGTTGAGTAAAGGCACTCTATTGTCGTGAGCAAAGAGCTCTTGATGCACATCAAACTTGGTGATATGATAATAGTTCTTATTTGAGGGAGAGTGCTTGATGTGGATGAAAAGGCACTCACATGTGAAGGGAAGATTGTTGGGATGCACATGTGAGTATTAATTCTTGCATTGAAAAGAAGTAATGAAAACAAAGGACTTGCATACAAGGTTGGCCCACAAGCTTTTGGGTGAAAGGTGATGTCCAATTCTTGTGTCTAAGTCCTGCGTGTGAAATGAGCTCCCCGATGGTTGTGACCCCTCAGTACCCAACAAAGATGATCCAAGAACAGTACAATATACTAAATCTTGCAAAGATGACAGAGAGATAAAAGGCAGCCCAGTGCACGAGGTTCCCGCCAATGCGAGGTCTAGGGATGAGCAGATGTATGCAAGGTTCAAAGTATCGATACATATCGGCTGATATGTATCGTATCGGGAGCTTCCCGATATGCCCCTACAGAGGGTGTATCAGGGCTTTGACCAGTTCAGGGGGTGGACGGACCTTAAACCGGCCCCTCAATCGGATTTAAAAAAAAAAAAAAAAAAAAAACTACCAATACTGCCCGATATGCCTCTACCGGCGTATCAGGCGTATTGATATTTTGAACCTTGGATGCATGCAGCCTTACCCCTATACATATAGAGGCTGTTTCAAAGATTTGAATCCTGGTCACCCAGGTCGCAATGGAGCAACCGAGTTGTGCCAAAGATTTGAATCCTGGTCACTCAGGTCGCAATGGAGCAAACGAGCTGTTGTGCCAAGACGACACAGAGATGAAGTCCAAATTCATGTTCATTTTCTTGCTTAAATATGTCATGCTAGTATGCAATCTGCATTATTTGTTACTGTGCATAGTTTCTAGAACTTAAAAACTGTATTTTCTTTTTAGGATGCACAAATAGCTGAACCAATTTGTAACATAGAAGGGATTAGACTACCATTAACTAATTGGTTGAACATTTGCATCCACTTATTTTTGAAATTTTGTTATAGGATGCCATAGAGATAGATGAAGACCTCCTTGCGAACAGTGAAAGGTCACTTGAGACCTTGGTTTCAGTTGGAATGAAGTTGGGCGTCTCAAGAAAGGAACAAGCAGAAACAGACCTGCCATGTTTTGAAAACTGTGTACTGAGGGATTGAAAGAGAGCTGACACTTCTTGGTGTCACTGGAAGATGTCTGTAGTGGTTGCTTAGAAATCAGAGTAGTAAAAAAATGCCTAATATCCATTCCAAACCTTGTAATATAGCATTCTATACAAACTCTGTTATCATTATGTTACATTGGCGTCACCCAAAAAAAAAGTTTTAACTTGTTACTTCTATTGTTATATGTGTAAATAAGATTCAAAATATCAGAAACGTTAAGTGTATCGGAAAGATAATTTTAAGAGATGTATTGGGATACGCCTTGGATACGCATGTGTATCGGAAAAAAACTAAGATATGCTTGGAAACACTATAAATACTTTAATAAATTATAAAAATACAACAACACTAAATATAAAACCTCATTTAGGTGTATATACATTAAATTAATATATTTTAATGGTTTTATGAAGAAATATGTTATAGCTAATTATAATTTCGTTAAAAATCATATGATTAACTATAATTTATAAATTACAATTCTTAAGTTTTAATGTTTTATGAGATGAGAAAAACCCAACTCTCCTATCCAAACACAAAACATGCATTGGCACAACTTTTATGTGAAAACATAATTAATAATTATTTATTATTCATTTCCAAAAATTATAAAAAACAAATAAACATTATATAATATATTCAAAAAAATTTATTAAAGAAGAAATTTCAGTTGCTTTGTGGATATGATAGATCATCCATAGAATTATGATATATTCAATCATTGTGATCAAATGATAAAATATAATTTATTAATTATTTATTTTTTAATTCTAAAAATATAAAAGTAAAAATATAATTATTAAAGAAGAAATTTCAATTGGTCTATGGATATGATAGATCATCCATAGAATTATATATATTCAATCGTTGTAATCAAATGATAAAACATAATTAATTATTATTTATTTTTTAAAATCTAAAAATATAAAAAAAATCAAAAAAAATATTAAAGAAGAAATTTCAATTGCTCTATGGATATGATAGATAAATCTATAGATCTAAAATATACTTAGTCTTTATAGGCAAAGAAAAAAATTACATTTTCAATTTTTTTGTTAATTTATATTTTCCCCAAATGCCTTCATGAAGTTTCCATAAATCTACTGATAACACAAAAAATAGTGATTTTGAATGTAAAAAATGTAGATCAACATAAATTTAAACATTCACACTTGTTTCAAAATTTACCTATTTTTGAAAAAAAAAATTACAAGATATTATAAAAGATTGAAAAAATTTACCTATTTTTGCCATATTTTTTCAAAATTTGAAAAATCTTTAAAAAGTTTAACGATTCACACTTGTTTCTTGCAAATTTTCGCAAATCTAGCACTTTAGGAATGAAATTTGGAGTTTTAGAGTTATTTGGGAGTGAAAGAAGGCTTATTTCGAGGAAAAGAATGTTGTTTTTCCACTTTAATTTTTTTTTTTAGTTTATGGCTGTATTTTTTTTGTCGATACACTACCAATACACCCCCGGTACGCCCTCAATACAGGTCTGATACACATGAAAAAAGAAACGTCCGATTTTCATGCATATCTTGTATTGATTTTTCAAAGATATAATATGATACGCCCTGTATCAGGTGTATCGTATCGAAATTTTAAACCGTATGTTTAAATTTTGCCTGTCAAAAAGAAGGCTGGATCATAGAAGATGTGGGAGGATAGCATAAAGAGTATTTTTCCTTCTTCTCCAAGGTTGGCAAGAATTCAGCCAGGATCCATACTATGAACGTGTCAATGAATTCTACAATATTAACATAAGAGGTTCGGACAAAGCATTCTGTTGGCACAGTTACTGGATAGTAGGTAAATGGATGAGGGCAGGATATAAACCAGGTCTGCAATATCAATACCCAGATACTTAACCAAACAAGCAACCTAGGACCTTTTTATTTCTATATTGCATGCTCGGATTATGAAGATTGAGACCTCAATAACAGTATGAATGGCGTCAAGATGATGCCGTAGTATGAATTCTTACTACTGCCACACTGTTCCATCAAGCTAAGGTCCAAAAGTACGATACTCTCGATTTGAAATTTCAAGTTTTAACATAACGAGAGTTTTAATCAATCGGTAATATTTTTTTATTTTTATTTGATATTTTAACAGTGGAAATTTCATATAATAATAATAATAATAATAATAATAATAATAATAATAATAATAATCGAAATCAAGGAAATAATAATTTTAGGGAAAATTCCCAATCAGTATCCTTTACTTTGGCTCGAGTGACAATTTGGTCTCCGAACTTTAAAATGCGACAATCCAGTATCTAAACTTTTAAAATGTGACAATTCAGTACCCGAGCTTTCAAAATGTGACAATCCAGTACCTACCGTTAACCAGTCCGTTAATCAGTCGTTAAGTGACATTTGAAAAGTCAAAATGCCCTTCAAATGCCATCTAATTCTCTTTATCAACCATCCAAACGTTGACAAAAAATTGAACAGTCCCAAATCCTAGCTTATTCTATTCAAAAAAGTTGGTGACTGTTTAGAAGAATCTAGAATTTGGAGCTGTTCATTTTATTGTCAATGTTTGGATGGTTGATAAAGAGAATTAGATGCATTCTGAGGGCATTTTTGACTTTTCAAATGTCACTTAACGGCTGATTAACAGACTAGTTAACAGCAAGTACTGGATTGTCACATTTTGAAAGTTTGAATACTGAATTGTCGCATTTTAAAGTTCGGGGACCAAATTGTCACTCGAGCCAAAATACAGGGTACCGATCAGGAATTTTCCCATAATTTTATACCACAGTTGTGAGGCCAAAAATCGATACGTGTTATACGGTATGCACCGGTATGCCTCCAGTTTTCATGAATCATTGTTTTGGACTAGGGATACTAATGTTTATACCAGGATATATCTAAAGATTCTGATAGAGCTCGAGATCACAAAATTGGCGAAGATGCTATATGCCGGCATCCCATTGAGATGAGATGTCCAACAGTCCAACTTAATGTCTCATTTGGGAGAGCTTCAGCTTTGATTGAGTTGTATTGATTGAACCATTTTGAAGAAGCTACTAAAATTTGTTTCACCGAAAAGTTGATTTCTTAGCTCAATGAAAGTGAATTTGGGCTTTCAAAGTGTTTTTACCAAACATAACTTCTTAGCTTTCTGTGTAGAGCCCCTTCTTGCAAAGCCAGAAGCCTCTTTGTGAAAGCCCTCCCAAATGAGCACTAAAATATGGAAGAAGCGGCTTCCATGCAAACAGAGGACGTTAGTAATGTATCTCCCACACTTACTGGCCCGAAAATAAATCCAAGTGGACCTAGAGGTACTTAGGAGGATGGTCCTGCTCTTGTGAGGTAGGGGTGCAAGTTAGATGAATTTGGATTTGGTCCTCACAGAACCATCCTCACAGGCTTTTACAGCTATGCATTGGGAACGTCTCCGCAATTGTATGTCTATTTTCCTGGGGAGGTATTCCCAATGCACGGCCAAATCCGATTTCAAGTCAGATAACCAATTTTAAGATTTTACACTTCATTAAACCTAGGGTTTTTATCCAGAATCATTCAAAATTTGACAAAATCCCAACCCAAGCCCACCCAAGTTGCACCCCTAATGTGAGGAAGGTATTAAAATTAAGTACTCCAGATTGAAATAAGTAGAAGCAAGAGCACGAAGGCTTTCTTGAGTAGCAGCTGTATTGTTCCCAAAGGCTGAAGCCTTAAGGGGGAGTGGGAGTGGTTGCCATTTATCTTAGCATGGAAAGTGGAAGGGAGCTTACACTCCAAAAGGCTCCTCGAAAAAGTGTTAAGCCGAATATCTCTGTTCATATTATGTTCAGAAGCTCTTTTCATGCTACTAATTGCCCAGCTTAAGCCGAGACTCTTGTAGAGTAGTAAATTGGATCGGGTTTTAAGCTGAATCACTTAATTTGCGTTTGATGCAATTGTTGTTTCTACCTAAAACATTTTGGATTGATTAATACAATTTTTTATTTCTACTTGCATCATACTGTAAACGTCAATAATCAGTCCCGCACATGCACTTTTTAGTTGAAATGACTCTCATACGCTGAAAGAGCATTGGTATCCAAACACAACCTCAATGATCAATCCAATTCCAAGAGGCTAAGTAGTTACAATCAGTTCGTAATTGGTTGGGACAGTAGGTAAATTTTTCTAAATCTCCAATTCACTTCAGTCGAAGGGTCCATACCCACTGTAAACCAATCTCCAGATTTCTCAAGGTTAGCTTCAAAATTCATAACCAAATAAGACTGTTTTGGGGTAACTACTTGCAGCAGTGATGGGTTTCTAAAAAGCTTGCTATTGCTTTTAAGTACCCATTTGGGAGGGCTTTAACACCACGGCTTCAGTGTTGTATGAGCCAAAGAAATCAAGAAAGTTATGAAGCCCTATTTGGTAAAAATCTGAAAAGCTGAAAATAGGCTTACATGAATCCAAAAAATCAACTCTCCAATGAAGCTATCGTAAGTAACTTATCAGAAGCGACTGTCAATACAGCTCAATCACCACAGAAGCCCTACCAAATAGGGTCTAAGCAACCAACTTACCAACATAATCCGAGACAAAATCACAAAAGCATCAACTCAACTCGATAGCATTTTAAAAAGCGCCACCAAGCTCTACTACTAACTCTACTATGCAGAAACAGATGTCCCCCAATTCAATCTGACAATTACAGAGTTATAAGCCTTTGTATGTCCATGCCTATCTTTAACAGTTTATCCATGGTGAGCTGCGGTCCACGAGATCGGATCTGCTCCTCACACCTGGCGCCTCACGCACATCTTATTATGGTTATTATTCATGGGAACATTTTCCGTACTCATTGGTTATTATTCATGGGAGATGTTCCCAATGCATGGTGGATGTGCCTGTGAGGCACCCATTTGTGAGGAGCAGATCCTATCACGGGTCCACACCACTATCTTTGGAGGTACAAGAGCTTTCCAAACAACACCATTGGAATTGGAGAAATCAGAACTTCTAGTTTCCACATGTTGCTTCACAAAGGAGCTGATGAGAAACAACCGCTAGGATCCCATTGAACTGTAGAATTTGTATGATACCTCTAACATTTCATACTATCCTAATTACACCACCACTAGACCTGTTCACGACCGGGCTTGGGCTCAGCCCATAAACATTTTACACTGTTTTGCTCTTGGGATTTGGGCCAA